TCGAACCGGCAACCTTCCGATTACAAGGCGAACTCCCAACTCTTGAGCCACGATCGCCCCGCATCATGGGAATCCCTGATCCAGCCTATATAACTATATACTTTATCAAAAAGTAAAGTTTTAAACCTAATGGTAATAGTAGAGAGGGCGTCTGTCTCCTGAATCCAAACTGGGAGCCTCCCATTCGACTTTAAAATATTATAGGAACCACAAGCAAGCCTGCAGTCTGAGAGCAAAGAGCTGTAATGGGGTGATACGGTATTATAAGATCATTAAGATAAGATGGGGCCTGATTATTCAAGACATTATTCAAGTAGCTGATGAGTAGGATACGGATTTAACAGGGAGCCAATGAAGAAGAATTATGCTCTGTTTTCCTAGTCTCTGTCAGGACTCTTGCTGCAGCAATTTGGATCAACTAAAGACTTTTCAAGGAGTTTTAGGACATCCTGATCATCTGTCCAAATCAGTTTTTACAGAACTGTGCAGGAGATTTGTTTTTAAATATTTTCTGGCAAAGTCTAGTCTGATCTTCCTGTTGTTGAGTGTAACCCATTGTTTCTACCATAAACCTTTTATATTTCCATTTGTGAAGGCTTCTTTTGATTGTAGACTTGACTGACACGTCAATCACACCTTGACTGTGGTTGCATACAGAGGCAGCAATACAAAAAATGTGGTGGCCAAGCCAAATCAAGCAGTGAGTGAAAGTGAAAGTAAAAAGTGAGGAAAACAAAGTGTAAACCTCCCACACAGGTCATGAACTGTAATCTTGTAGCTGACCAGCCCTTCAAGGCACTCCACCATCACTGCTTCAGCCTGCTGCTACGTTTTTGGTTCCTAAAAAGAGGCTGTTCTCTCCCTGCGTTTAATATCAATGCAGACACTGTCTCAAGGCATGAGAGCCAAAGGACACCTTGTCTCTGTGACGCAAGCAGGATTTCACAGAATGCCGGGATGTGATGCCCGGGGATGAAAACATGTTGCATACGTATGGCCTTTGGCTCTTGATGTGCTTTCTCCAGTCTAAGAAAAATATCAGCTTGTGTTTAGAGAGTTCAGAGTTTCAACAGAAAGCTTTTGTTACACACTAGTTTGACAGATACGACTGTTTACCAGGCAGGAAAGATGCTATGGAAAAACATTTTTCGAAGATTTCAAATCAGCTGACAAAAATTTCAAAAATTATAGCTGCATGTGCGAAGGAAAAGAGTACTCGACTCTAATTTCTGCTAATAATACTTCATTGCAAAGTCCCAGGCATAAAAACAACAGCAACAAAAGGACCGCTCAAAAACTCAGTAACTGATTGTGATGATATAAAATGACGATGCCTGAAAACTTGTTCTACTTCTCCATGTTGAACGCCCATGAATTAGATATTAGTGAATAAATAAACATCTGTGGGGTAATTCTGTATCACTTTGGGCCATTCTGTTTTTGATCAGCTCCATAAAAACCCTAAACTCGATCGGCCTCTCAAACACAGAATAATAAAACACCATGGACAACTACATATTCAAGGCCTGTTCCGCTCGTGGTATTCATCAGTGTGATCTCTTTGTCTAAGGCAAATACAAAAATCCCTCAGAACAATTTTAGCAAGCTTTTCTGATTAGGTTACTTAATTTGAAAATATGACTGAAAGGCTAAATGCCTGACACAGAAACAGCTCTCCCAGGAAGCTCCTCCAAGTGTTTCTCATCTAGCAGAGTGAGTGTTTACACATGTTGTAAAAGTAAGTCTGTTTCCCCTTAAACAAAACACAAAACCCCACAAAACCATTCAGTATAATCTTACAGTGTTGGACATTTACATTTAATATGTTTTAATAAGTTTTAAGTAATGACCTAAACATGTTTAAAAGTCGCTCCTATGAGTAAAATATCTGAGGAAGACAGTCTGAGTGGTTAGTTCAGTTTCAGTAACCACACCCAGGCCTAATTACTTCCAGACCTGATGAATAAGGATATCACTTAAATAGAACCTGTTAGACAAGGTGAAGTCAGTGAAAGTGGATTAGAAAAAAACAAACCAAGTAAACAAATAAAAACAAATGAAGGTTTTGGAGGTTTTGAGTTTGAAGTCCAAACTCAGACTTGATCGAGATGCTCTCTAATGACCTTAAACAGGCTGTTCATGCTTAAGTTTTCCAGTGTTGCTGAATTAAAACAAGTGTGCAAAGAAGAATGGGACAAGATTCCTCCAAGGTGATGTCAAAGAGCAGTTCTTGCAATTCTTGAATTCAAGAATGGTAAAATTTGTTATCGAAACAGACGCCCACCTATGGGCAAATCACCCTCAATTAGCCTAACCCCACTAACTGCATAGTGCTAAATGCTGACCACTACGCCACCATATTCTACTTTTATATAAACTTATATAAACATCATGAAAGAAAAGCAATGGTTTCATTACTTTAATGGTTAGCTGACACCTTAAGTATAAAAAATAGACAGTGTGATTGCTCATGGATATTTACTGCCAGACTGGAGCTTGAGTTGCAGATGCATCGTGCTCATTGCTGGCTTTGAACGGCTCATTTTCTTCATTAGCTGCAAAAAGTTTAAAATTCCACAGTGTCGCTCTGTAAATGTCCACGAATCTTTAACTGCCTCAACATGTCAGGTCAGTTCATTTCCTGCGTCCTCTGAAATTTAACTTCTGTTGATATATCTGTGTGTTATTGTAGGATCTTTACCTTACAATATAAAGCATGCTGAGGCAACTTTTGCTGTGCTTTAGCATATATAAATAAAACTGAAGAGTCTCTCTACACACTGTGTTTCTGTTCAAAGTTTAAATACAAAATGTGATTGTTCCCGAATGCTCCTGATTTAATTTTTTTTTTTTTACAAAAAGACTAAGAAATTACAAAATATTTAGATATTTTTAGTGTTACATAATAATTAATATTTTAATCATAGAAGTTTAATGAGTTATCTCTAAAGTCATCTTTTAGATTTAGTATATTTTTAATGATCAAAGATGGATGATTCCACAGGCATTTATTGCTCAAAGTCATCAAATTCGTGTATTTATTAAAAACAAATCTTTAAAACGATCCATGACTTTTCTATTATTGATACTTTTCCAGAATTTTATTATTTTGGTTGAATAACATCTGTAAAATTAGTTTTAAAAAAGTATTTATGGCAAACTATACTTTCCGTTTTTTCTATTTAAAAAATAGCCTTTTCTGATATTATGTTAAATTTGTAATTGTATTTTAATATTATATAATTTTATCTTGAAAAAAAAATAAAGCTAATTTTATGTTTATTTGAAAGTACAGTTAATTCTATTTTAGGTCTTTATTATTATTAATTTTTGTTCGCTTTTAAAATAAAAGTCTTAATTTTATTGCAATTTCATGTACTTAAAAATAAGAGGAATATTTGTTACATTTAACAGATGAAATCTGTCAAGATTTTTTTTTAAGCGTGTCCAACCTGGAAAAATATTAATTATAATTAAAATATTAATAGAAAATCGTGTTACTTAGCAGGTTTACAGGTTTCGAACCTTTCCAACAATAAAACAGTTTTTACAAGCCCCAATTTCTGCCAATCACCGTGCTTCCAGATGCTGGCCAATCATAGACAAGACTGTCTTTAGTAAGGTAGGCCTCAAATAGCCTTAGTTTAATGAATGAAATGATTGTCCCAGAAAAACAATGCAGAGCAAGAAATAAGTATGATACATAAATGAAGCTAAATTAATTAAATAGGAATGAATCTGCAGCATGAATTGAATAAAGCTTCCTGCAATGAATAGTGCACAATTATCTATACCCTCTTTAGAAGCAAGTAAGAATCAAGCAGGGACTTTCTCTGCTTCCTGTATAGCTAGCATCCTTGCTGTGAGGTACACTAATACTGTTATGGGATAGATAGCTCCTGTTTTCCAGACTGAGACAAACAGCTTTTTGTGCCAATGGCGGGGGGAGCCGATCATGTGCTTGATATTATCTGTGTATGAAGCGGTAATACAGTGGCCTTCTATGTTCTAATCAGCAGGGTCAGCCTCATCAGTCTCATCTTCTCTCACTGTTTTGTATTTCTAAATTACCCCCGAAGCATAATTCATTTATGGCTGTTGTGGGTTTATGGAAGGATGAAATATGCTCTTAACCTTTACTTACCCTCAAAATCACTCCAAAAAAACAAAAAATCCCAACAAAACACACACAAAACCACACAAAAACAACCCAACAACAACAAAACAAACAAACAAGCCACAAAAAAATCAACAAAACAAAAAAACAAAAATGTCGATAAAAGAGGACACAAATCAGATGATCATCCAGCGTCCCACCTATTTTGGGAACTGGGGTTGTATGCTCACATACCATACATATGATCATATGACTTATATGTTTCTCACAAATTCAATTTGTGAAAGACCTCCACAGTTTCTAGACATGAAAACAGTGGCTCATTGTTTTTCTAAAAACATAGTATGGCAAGGGAGACAATGAGCTGAACGCAAGAACTAACAATATTTGTACTGGTGTTGACCCCCAGTGGCCAGAGGGTGTAGCTGCTCCTAAGGGCTCTGGGAATTTAATAGACTTTTATGACAGAATCTTTTATTAATGCAGTTATTATACATGGCTTGAAAATTTGCTTGAATACAGCAACATATTTCCATGTGTTTAAAGGAATAGTTCGACATTTTGGGTAATAAATGTTGCTTATTTTTACTAATGTCAGGTAGTAAAAAGAGTGGCACCATTCTCATGTTGCTTTGTGAAAGTGAGGTTTAATTCAGCATAAAGCTAAAGCTGTAAACATTCGAGGGATTAAATATGTGCACTGAGTAGTGAGCCTTACAGACACCTGTAGGTGGATGTGTTACCTGTGGAGAGCAACATGCAAGCTATTTAGTCCCTCTTCCAGTCATGTGGCTTCAGTTTCACATGGGTACATTCTCCCCAATCTCCCAAAATGTCAACTATTGCTTTAGAGGTACCCTCTAAATCCACAAACCTTCCTGTAAAAATGTGAAATATTTATTACTATTCATACATTTAAAAAAAGAAAAGAAAAATAATGTCTAAAATGTGTAGAAATCTCAGAGTAAACCAAAACACATAAACTAAGACAGGAAATGATGATAACTCGTACTGAAAAAACAGAAATCAAAGTAATGTTTCCACAAAGAAATGTGAAAAATAAAAGCGACAGCATAGAGTAGAATAATTATAAAGGAAAATAAATACCCACAGTCTTTACCACACTGCTCTTTCTACAGTATTCACCATGAGGCAGAGATTAACCCTTCATATGCAAGTTACAAAGTTCGAACCTTGACCTTCTTGAACCTTCAATAAAAAGTCATAGCCTACTACACCATCATATAAATACATTCATGCAGTGACATAACATATATATTTGCATTTACACCACAACCTTTAGATCACGACAGGCTACATTATACTGAAAATACATAACATCACTTAAATATTTAACAAATACTTTGAGATGATAAATATCAACTTACGTGAGGATGATCCTCTGGAGACAGTCTGTTTAAATACTTAAAACTGTCAACATTTTTAAACTTCTGTCTTTTGTTGGCGTGACAGCGCTACTCACTCTAAGCCTGATAAAATGTTCTTGTTAACAACTTGTCTTCATGGTGCCATTTAACCGGTCTTCAGCTGTTGGTTTTCCCCTGACTCTGAAGCTGTGATGGGTTTTCGCCTGTCTGTGCGTTGCATGGTGCTTGCCTTCATGGATTGGCGCAGCGAGGACAGCCGGCTGCGGAAACCCTCCCCAGAGAAGAAGTAAAGCAGCGGATCAAAACAGGAGTTGGCAGCAGCCAGGCACAGCGTCACCACCACCAACTTCTGCATGGAAACGTTCTCGCAGTGGGTAGTGTCTCCCCGAGACAGAAAGTTCAGGTGCACAGTGCGCTGCACGTGGTAAGGCATGAAGCTGACCAGAAAGGTCAGCAGGACAATGACAATCATCCGGATGGCTCTGGTGCCTGTGCCCCGCTGACGGCGGGCAGCGTGGGTGCGGGAAAGCAGGGTTCGGACTATGCCAGCGTAGCAAAGTATGATGACCAGAAAGGGCAGGACAAAGCCCACCATCAGCGACACATAGTTCAGCGCAATTAGTTTTTTCAAGCTTTTCCCAGGTGGAGGTGGCTCGAAGCATTTGGTTTTATTCGTTATCGGATCAAACTTCTGGCCAGATATCAGGAAGGGTGAAGATAAAAGACAGATCACTACCCAGATAGCACCACAAACAAGGCGTGCACGGTTCTCTGTCACCAGCCGCAGGTTCTGCACAGGGAAAACAATAGCCAAGAAACGCGTGAAAGACATAGCTGCCATGAAGTAAATACTACAGTAGAGGTTTACATAGAGGGCGTAAGAGCTGATACGACAGAGAAAGTCCCCCTCGTGCCAGTCTCCCTTTCTGACATAGTAGAGAACTCGCAGCGGCAGCGTCATAACGCACAGCAGATCAGACACAGCCAGGTTCAGCATGTAGACGTGAAAGGGTGAGCTCTGGCGATACGTTCTGATAAGCACCACCAGGGCAAAGCCATTCCCAACCAGGCCTAGAACTGTGATGAGGGAGTATGCTGTTGAGTAGACCTGGTTACGGAAGTCATCGATGGACTCGCACCGACTGGAGTTGTCCTGCAAACCACCTGTCACATTCTCCATTTGTGTAGCTGCTGAGACAGAGGGAAAGCGCATTATGAGCGTGCATAAAAATGTGTAAATGAAAGTGGTTCAGGCCCCCAGAAAATATGCATATGAGAAAGCAAAAACGCAGAGCTGTGTAAAGTGCTGTAACCCCAATGTGGTAGATTATTTCTCAGATAGTCTGTGAGCCTGTCGTGCATTTCTGGAAGAAACACCGAAAACAGATAAGCACTTTCAACCTCCATCCTGTCACATGGTAAAGCTTCTGTTTTTGGTTTCATAAGCTAATGTCTCTTTTAGATGCAGTTCTTGTGAAATGTTGAGACACTGTTCATTGTGAGCACTTGTCACAGACTCATTATTAACAGATGGATCACATTCTGTCAGACTCCACTTCACTACGGGGCAAATCGTTTCATTTAGCATTGTGCAGGCGATAAATTATTAAGGAGCGTGCATATGTGTTACATAACTCACCATGCACCTGAGCGTAACTGTAATGCACATTCACTACTGTGAAGCTAAAAACTCGTTGATTCAGTTTCAGTTAACAGACTTTCTGTTGCTCTTTCACTTTTGATTGAAAGACATTCTCAAAGCACTCTTTAAATTAACAAATAGATTATTTGCACCGCTCAGACAATGAGTGGTAACTTCTAACAATAAGCCTACACGCTGCTGAGCGCTTTCTCTGTCACCCACAGCTGTTAGCAAAAGTATAAACATCACAAAAATAAAACCCACATTCCAGCAAATTCAACTCCAGCTTAAGGCATGTTCTCCTTACCGGTGAATTCTTGTTTTCAAAAATGGTATGTCAATCTTCACTCCCGCCTGACGTCCGCAATCACAATGCTGCCTCAGACCGACTGCCTGCTTCATCTACCAGATGTTGCCACAGTAATGGAATGATGCTGCGTCTTCAGAGGCTCACTTTGAAAGCAAGTCGAAGTGGGGCTGGTCTTTCCCTTTAACTACGCAGCACAGTCACATCAAACTCAGTGACATCACAAACACTTTAGCTCATGGGGGGAAACCACTGTAAAGGTGATCTTTTTTTACTTCTTCGCTGTAGGCAATATTGTGCTTTCATTTGCCAAAATTTGTTACTAATATTTTTTTTACTGCCACTTACTGATTTATCCTGATAGGCCAGTATCTGCTTCTGCTGAACACACACCCTAAACCATATTTTCCACTCACTTCACACTTTCCTGGTGCAATGCAAACACCATCTGTTCTTTATTTATTTTCTCATATTTCCCCCTCAGATGACTGTATCAGCCTGCCTGACCTGTTCGAGTCTGACACCTTGTTGACACAGCAATTTCTAACAACATATTGTGTACATAGTGTCTAATGTCACTGGGCACTGCATGAAAAGTGTTGGGAAATAGGAACATTTAAAGTCTTTGCTTTAGGTGACAGCTTATGTCTAGTCGCTTTGTAATGAACACGTCGTTTACTATGCAGCTGTCGAGTAAACTGGAGAGTTTAGCGCAGCTGTTTTGTCTGAACATGTTGACAACAAGTTGGAACTCGGGTTGACACGGGTGATGATGACGATTAGCTATAAAGAAAGGAGATGCAGAGATAGTTAGTTAACCCAAAGAAGGAAAACACAACAACATTATCAACAGCTGTTGTGCTGCATTTCCTTTGTATATTGCCAATGAGCGTGGTTTACACTAAGTTAATGGAGTGCGGATGCTGCAGTGGAAATGGGCAAACTCATTCTCACAGTTGAACGGCCTTTGGGATGGAAGGGCAAGATAATTCATCTATAACCTATTTAGTGGTTCAGCATAAAAAAACAAAGGCGTCTGTTACATTATGTATTAGCTTGAAAATGCATTAGCGCCAAACGCAGGGAGTAATGACGGGTAGGTGGGGGCAGGTCTTTTGAGACGTTGAAAGATGTTGAGAGGGTATTTGTGTGTTTGTTTGTTTTTCTGAGTCATTACATTCCACAAAATACAAGCGCCAGAAACTGAAAAACGTACAAAGTGTTTAGCGTTTACCACATGTAGCCGTTCTTTGTGTGACCTGAATGAGATTTGACTCTTAATGTTGGCAACTAATGCTTTCCTCCGCCATCGCAAAACTTAATGGCGCATTGAGAAATCTGGATTTGCATCTAGAGCATTAATCAGTACATCAAAGTGCACATATGCAGTGGCAGACGTAAAAACACTTGCTCGACAGATTAGCGTTATCTGTTTGCATCTGTGAGCGTGCACTTGAAAACTGTTAACTGGTGATGAACTCGAGTGCACTTTGTGGATTCTGAACTGTGGTTTCTTTGTGGATCATAATTGTATTGATCTACAAAATGCAATAAAACAGTCCAATGTGTGCGGGAAGTGGAGACGCTTAACATGTTGAGTGCATCATCCCAGATTTACCTCATTTACTCAGAATTTTACTGACTGCTCATTTACACAGAGCTCTTTTGCTGTCTCGCCTCAGCATTTCCAGCTAACTTGTAGCTCTTTGGAAAAGCCAAAAAAGACGAGCCTTGTTTCCCCCAATACCACGGCTGCCACAGCTGTGTAACTGCTAATTGCTATGTTCTTCCTGCGCCTGTGTGAGTTCTCTCCAGGTGTTCTGGCTTGCTACAGTGACCCAAAGACATGTGTAACAGTTTACTTGGTATTTCTAAATTGGCTGTGGGTGTGACCATGACCTGAGTGGCAGGTATTCTGTTTATTACCCATTTTCAGCTGGGATAAGATCAAGCCCTCCATGCTAAATCCACAGTTAAATATATGAATAGCTACAGATAGATGGATTAAATTAAGCTTTATTAGCTACACAAGTTAGATAGATCCGACTTTTTAGCCTGTGTTTGAGCGCTATCAGCATATTCGTTTTAGTTTATCTTCCTTGCTAAATTCTCTGCGACGGTCATAGGGCAACACAGTGGTTAGCTCTGCTGCCTCAGCACAAGAACGTCAATGTGCTTGCAAGGCTATGCATGCTATATGCACATCTATAGGCATGCTAGGCTAGCTGATGATTCTAAATTGGCTTTCAGTGTGAATATTAGCAGTGTTGGGAAGGTTACTTTTGAAATGTATTCCACTACAGATTACAGATTACATGCCCCAAAATGTATTTTGTAACGTATTCCATTACGTTACTCAGAGTAACGTATTCTGAATACTCTGGATTACTTAATATATTATCATGCTTTTTACAACCACATGAATGTCCTATTGCTGTGTGATTTATTACTATCACTGAGGGTTACTTGCCATACCAATACCAACTAGATTTTTAAATCTTAATATAGATGAGTAACAGTAGGGTGGACATTAGGTAAGGCTGCACTTTTTGCAGCGATGTCATATAGAAAACTATTCCGCGTGTATATAAAACAGATCCGCGGCTCTGAACCGTAGTAAAGGGACGTCTGGCTAATACATCGCTAATACGTCGGGTTCCGTGTCGGGCTTTACTTTTTACACGAACACAGTGTACAGTCAAGTCTTAATAGCTTACTTACAACTGGGCTACACTGCCCATGAGGCTACATTCTCTATGCCTGTAACACTCTGCCTATTGCCTTCATATTAAATAATTTTTTGAACAATAATTCAAAAAAATATTTCATTACGTCAATATGCAGGCCGCAAGTAGGGGTGACATGGGCCGCGAGATTGAGACACAGGCATTAGAGCGTCTTAATGCGTGTTTTGTTTGGGTTTCCAGCGGCGTGGAATTACCAAAAACATGTGAAACAGGAAAAGACCACCATGTAATCCCTTTGTTTCAACAAAGTAACTGCATTCTGGATACTACCCTTTTAAATGGTAACTGTAACAGAATAAATTAACTTTAAACACGTAATGCCGGTACATATATTCCGTTACTCCCCAACACTTACTTTTAGTATGAGCAGTTGTCTGCCTCTCTGTGTTAGCCATCCACCTCTTCTTCTTCCTAGCGTTTGTCCCGCGTGGCAGGGCTTTGCGACAAATCCATCTCCATTAGCCACCCATCTATGACCCTGAATTGGATAAGTGGAAGAAAATAGATGGATGGACATGAACAGATGGACATTCACTAGCTAGTTGCTAGGTTTGATGCTTGGTATGTGGCTTACACTGGGTTAGCAATGATTGGGGGAAAAAATAACCCACTAAAAAAGAGAAAGCGCTGACAGAGCTGACTTATCTGTGGGTTAATGCTCACATTTAAAAAAAAAAAACACCAAACATAAAAGCGTGTTTAAAGCAGTCGCTGCATTGTAAACTGGAACACAGACCTCTTTTGTGATAACCATTAATGCTAGAGGAATCCATGACTTCTTTTGGAAGTAGTCACAGATTTAGGTATTACTCCTGTCAACTTCTGTTTATTGGATGTAGCCACCCTACATACTTGAAATGGGCCCAACAACACTTCTGACTTCACAGCAGCTCCAATCCTTTCATGGAAATGAGAGCAGCCGCCATTTAATTAAATCATTTTAAACCAGTGTTACACTGTTGAGTCTGTCATTATTCACCTCCATAATTTGCAAAATATAGCTGTTATAGATTAAAGAGAGATTTGTTGAGGTTCAAATCACTGTTAAATATATGTGTGATCCCCTGAAACTCAAATCTGTTTCAAATCATATGAGAAAGAACATCTTCATAGGATTGATGTGATATCTGACTTTAAAAATGGTCCATTCTGTGGGTTTTTGCAGAGCCGGTGCTATCCTGCAGATGTTTATGTAGGTCACTTTATCTCTGAAATTACCACTTACCTCAGCAATTACCTCTGAGACAGAACCCTGCCAGAACACTCATAGGAAACAAACAACATGTAAAGCTTTGTGGTTTTCTAGTCGCTGACATTGTTTGTGCATGTATACAGAGTTCTTGTTAGCTGATCTAGAGATATTATTTCAAACATCCGGGATGCTTTGGGTCAGTGGAAATAGTGACACATCTTTGAATGGTACAGCTTCATTTTACACATCATGATAAAGAATTTAAGCCAGAGTGTATGCTGCACATATGTAAGAATACGGTCCGTTCAGATGACCCCCTGCTAGTCGTTATAGTCCTCATGCAGAGTATGTAGGGTTATATGACACTCAGCATTGTTGTTTCATATTTTTACCACATTTACCACATAACACCTCTCAAACAAAGATGAAACCAGACTAGTTTAGTGAATGCAAACAAATGAAAAAACAAACAAACAGATAAATCTAATAGTGTATAAAAAGCAATAAAACCAAAATCATAAAAAAGAAATATTCATGGGGAAACTGTTGTTTATCTGAGCTGTTAACATTGTGTAAGCGCTGTTTGTAGCATCCTGTAAAAGCAGAACAACTTACAGGCCACTTTCAGTGGAAGTAAAGATATGAGGACACACTTTGTGTGAAAGTGTATCTAGTCTACATCTGTGTCAACATTTTTACAACCACGATTGTAAAAAATAAAGTTAAAATGTTGTTTAAAATCAAAATACATCAGAATGCACAGATTTCCAAATGTAATAACCTTATATTTTATTCACAAGAGAGCACATATCAAGTGTTTCAACTGAGACAATGAACTGTTTTAGGAAAAAAACACAGCTCAGTCATGTTTACCTATGTGTAGCATTCCCTCCTCTTTGACAGCGGTCAGTAAACATCTAGAAACTGAGGACACCAGCTGCTCAAGAGGATTTCAGATGCTCATCAGTCGTGACTCGTGAGAGTCCTTTGTTCTAACATCCTGATGTTTTTAGAATTGTATTAAGTCAAGTGTCCTTTAAGTATGTGAGTCTCATCGTGAGCATGTTAACCTAAATGGTCATGCAGATTCCAATCAAATCATTGATTAGATCATCACTGATATTATTTATCAGATATTTATCAGTCAGATGTAACTACTGTTACACTGTAGATGGCTCATATATCCTGGGTTTCTTCATCTTCACTAACATTTCATTTATTCAAATAAATCAGCCAACCAAGAGGCACATTTTCAAGAGTTTTACTAGTAAATCTGCTCATTGTGTAGACTAGCCAAGTGTTCTTTCAGTCTAGTGTTTTGCATCTTCTACTAACAGATTATCGTAAATTATAAATTGTACGGTGGCCCTGAGAGGCCAAACGGACTGCAACTTCAGAAAACACTTGCAAAAAGAAAAACAGCTGCAAAAAGAAAAACGCGAATGCTAAAAGCACACAAGACACAACGGAAATGTTTCTGGGGAGACAATAACCGCGACGGACCAGTTGCACGAACCAAAACATGCTAACAAGTGCACTGGGACTGGGAGACACTTCAAAGAAGTGGAAGCGGGCGGCCAAAGAGTAAACTTTCAAAAGTAAGTACTGAATATTATGTCACTTATTTATGTGCAAATGTTTAATAATGAAGAACATTAAAACATTACTGTTGGCCACATGCGGCAAAGTTATGTGACATTAGCGATGTTTGTACTTAGTACTTGGTTTTAAAGCCTTTACTTTAAATATCGCCGTTCGAATAGTGACCTTAATCTTACAGAGAATGTGATGATTTTATGGATAATTAAAGTCAGTCATATATCCACAAACACAACAAGCTGAAAGTCAGTGATGCTGCTCGGTTTGCAGTCCTGAATATCACGGCACAAGCAGGATTCACTGCACTGTTAATGTTAGCTATGTTATATTGCTGCCTCTGTTCGGTGGTGTCGAGCCAAATGGACTTTAACGTGTGTTTGAACGAGCTGACGGTTCACTCGTTAAGCTGAAAGAAAGATGCTTTAATCACAGGAGTCACACATGTGTCCACTGTACCATCTGGGAACTCTTCTTGTTTAGCACTCGTAATAACACAAACACTAAATCTCCTTCTCTTGTGCTGTTTTGTAGCAGTGTATACACCTGAGACTGTCACCTGTCTGTCTGTCCTGCACTCTCTCTCTGTTTCTTTCTCTCTGATTGTGGAATAAAAGTATGAACATGTATTTATAAGTTACACTTGTGTTTGAATCCTGCAGCTTATCACACATTTGATTTCCATGTGTGACAACTGCAAGTGTCCAGAGTGAGGACAGACTGAGGGACCCACTGCTGCACATCATCTGTGAGGCTTTGCACCCCTGATGATCCACCAGGACAAACTCAGCAGTGTGTGAGGAAGAGGAGGAGGAAGAGCCAGCAGCAGCTGACAGATGGAGAGAATAGACAGACTGTTCCCTGTTTGTGAAGGACTGCTAGAAAAGTTTAAAATAACTAATTGTCTGTCCTGAATCAGTCTTATTAGGTAATGTTCAAATAATTTTATCCTCTCCAGTGTTTTCAGTGTGGGAGAAAGTACTCAGGGCCTTCAAGTTACACACTATGAAAGGCAGCAACAAGTTTAATGTTCAGAAACCTAAAGTATGTATCAGCAGCAGAATGGAGCTAAAAATAAATGTTTGTTTCAGTTCTATGAAGCTTTGAGTATTTTGGATTAGTAGCACTGCTGTGTTTGTTGCATCATATTGCTGTAATTGTTTATATGCTTTATATATTCTGAGGTAAGTTGATCTATAGTGTTACATCATATTCTATAAGGATGTTATGTGTTTGTAGACTTTCTGCCCAGTTTGACCCATTTAACAGAAGTCAGCCTGTTTAAGGCTCTGATATCTATTCTGTATGACTTAAAGCAGTTATGACATGGTCTGATTTTCTCACCCAATAAAGGAATATTTAATATATCAGTCTACTCTTCATTTTATCAGAAACAGTTATCACAGCTCGTACATTTTCTTTTTACACATATATGTAAGCATTGAGCCAAATTTAGTAATGCCAACATATTAAAAGAACAATATTTGTCTCTTATATATAATACATCTATATATACACTGTCAACAGATACTTGTGTTTGAGTGAAGATTTAAGGTGATAGGAAATATAAATAAATGCAACTTGAATCTTTACTGAAGCTCAGTGTTGACACAGAGTTCATGTTCACTGCTGTAATAACTAATAATGATTAATATAATAATATAGGCCATATTATATTTACATTACCAAAGTGAGATGACTTTAGTCTCATGAACAAATTAGCTAA